GGAACGGGCCGTTCTAGTTGCATTTTCGGTGTGTTAATTTGGCACCTGGAACGGGCCGTTCCGGATGCAAAATTAACACACCAAAAGTGCACCCAGAACGGCCCGTTCCTGTTTCAGAACGGGCCGTTCTGGGTCCAGGTGTTTTAAAAAAAATTCTCATCCACGTGGCATCCATGTATGCATCTACGTGGCGTCCATGTGACCAAAAGTTAACACCGTTAAAGCAATTTGGACGGAAAGTCTCACATTGAAACCAATTAATTAATTTGGGACTAAATTGAAACTAATTAATTAGTTTGAGACTAAATTGAGACAAAAAATTAATGAGGGACTAAATTGAAACAAAAAAAGATTATAAGGGACCAAATTAGGTTTTTAGCCTAATCTTAATCGTAAGTTTCACAACAGGTCATCCTAAAATAATTGAGCCCATTTTATAGAAGCAAAATCGTTTTAAAGTCCTGATCGATTCTTTTAAGATTTTTTTTTTAAGGATAGGAAAGATTACAAAGATGACTGCAATGAGGATTGAACTTAGATCTTCATGCTTCTAACTACCCAGTTCCTTTCTCACCCAACTACTAGGCTAACCCTAGTGGTTTTTTATTTGGGAGAGAGGAAGGAATAAAAGACAATAAAAAAAAAATAGGTGAGAATTGATTTGATAAGAATTAGGTAATAAATTGATTGAAATAGGATGAAATTTGTAATTGATTGGTAAAATAAAGTTAAGTGAGAAATAGAGTAAATTTAGTATTTATAATTACTATTTTATCCTTATTTTATATTATAGTTAGAATTAACATTTTTAATTTTATGTAATTTTACACATTTTCTAAAATTTACAAGAATTCTCTCAATTAAAAAGGTATAAAAAATTTGTGGGATTCATTTTTAATTTATCACAATTCTCCTTAAATATCCTCCACCAAACACAAATATTTTTTTTCCCCTTCAAATTCACTCTAATCTACTCTAATTCATCCCTTTCCCATTAAATCACCTCCACTAAACATATGTCAAGTGAAATAAATAATATAGGTTCAATTACTATAATCCCAATATTTGATGAATAACAATAGCTGCACACAAAAAAGCTGCACTATTTTCGCTTTTTAGATAATAAATAATAAAATATGCACATTCCAACATGTTCTCTCTAACTTTAATTTCACAAAAAGAAAACTGTAAATATGATGCATAGAAATTGGTATGCAAATAAAATAGCTGTATATTATTTTGTTTCTGTTCCAACCATACATATTTAAATTCTTTTTACGATTATAGCTAGAGTCAATTAATTTGTTATATTACTACATATCTTTTCTTCAAGTATTTTAGTATGTGCAATTATCTAAACATTTTTTTTTCTGCTTGCCTATCAAATATATTAATAATTTGAAAATAATGATAACCAATTTAGTATTTTTCTTCTTTCTATTTAAATAAACGCAAGATTTTACACAAAATTAATATCTAAAGAACAATTGCCTTTCTTTTTAGGATTTCATCATGTAATTTGCGATCTGAGTTATATATTTGGAATAAATTAATCCCAAAATATATAATAATTATTGGATTAAACTCTTAACACTTTTCTACAGCGAAAAGCCTTGACACTCTTCTTCTTTGCTATTAAATGAAGATTAAAATAATCTAGACATGCAACGAACAACTAAAAGAAAGACTAACATATATCAGAAAGAAAAAAAAAAAGACTAACTCAATTATTCCAACTAAAACAAAAAAGTTGATTATACAAAATGTAATGATAAAAGATACCATAAAATTAGAGTACCAAAATTAACATATCCAAGAAGAAGGTAAAATTATAGTGAAATTATACACTATTTTCCTTGGCCTCCATTCCCGATAACGTATCATAGAGAGGTTGGTTCAGCGTTTCCGGCAGATAAAACGCGAAAACGCCAGCACCAATTCCGCACAAAGCGAACACCATAAACGGCAACGACCCCCCCAAAACGACCACCAGCGGCGACAATATCGCACCCATCTGCGCCGCCTGCGTTGCGCACCCCAGCGCGGCGTTCCTCACCACCGTCGGGAACAGCTCCGCCGTGTAAATGAACAGCAAATTATACGTCCCCGCCATCCCAAAAATCCCCAAAACCCCACACGCCATTCTCACACCCTTCCACACCCCAACGTTGCTCACCAAGCTTCCCACGAGGCAAAACGCCCCACTGAACCATAACGTCGCTATGGTCAACGGCTTCCTCCCCCACCGGTCCAGCAACATCGCCGTTATCATAAACGCCGGCATCTCCGCCACCGCGTTCAGTATCACGGTGAGGTAAAGGTTGGTATCCATGTTCACCACGTTGAGACTCAACCCATAGTACACCACGGAGCACAAGAAGTTAATTACTACTGCTAGAATCAATCTCTGACGTGTCACCTGTGATCGGATCATGTCCATAAGTGATCCGGTCATTACTAGGTGACACGTCTGACACTGAGATTCATTTAAGGAATTGACATCGACACCTGTGTACACATGGCATGTTGATTGAGATTCATTTAAAGGGTTAACATCTTTATATAAGTAACATTTTGACTGAGATTTATTTAAGGAGTTGACTTCTGTGTCCACGTGACATGTAGAAGATGATAGTGTTATGGATTTTGACAATGCTACGTGATGGCATGACGATGATGACGACAATGATAATGATCGTGGTTGTTGTTGTTGGTTTAGGGTTAGAAAGACCTTTTGTGGAAGATGGTTACCATTAGAGGTGGCGATTTTGGACATGATTTTTGTGGCTTCATTGGTTTTTCCTCGAACGAGGTACCATCTTGGGGACTCCGAGATGAAGGGGAGGATGAAGAGGAGGAAGAGGAGGGAGGGGAGGGAGGAGGCGATGTAGAGTTTGCGCCACGTGGGGAAGATATAAGCAATGGCGGAGATGAGGGCGATGCCGGAGGAGAAGAAGTAGAAAGTGGACATGCCGGCGGCGCCGCGTGCCTTGGGGCCAACGGGCTCGGTGGCGAGGACGAAGGCGCAGAGGCCGACGCCGCCGGTGCTGCAACCGGTGAGGAGGCGGAGAATGACGTAGGAGGAGAAGTTGGGGGATAGGGCTGTCAAGGTGCCGAATACGGTGTTTAGGGCACACACCACAGTGAGAGAGCCTTTTCTTCCGAGGAAGGAATCTGAGAGGTGACCGAATATTCCAGCACCTGAAATTGTTGCAATGCTATGCATGAGAATCAATTTTCAGTTAGAATGATTAACTTTTTTTTTGTTGATAAAATCTAATGTTTGATAATTGTGTTATTATTCTCAAACTCACGGTCCCCATTAAAGATTAACAAAACATATAGTTAGTACAAATCCTCTAAAGTACATAGGTACAGAATTTTGTAAAAATAGTTATATATAATACATTATTGATGAATATAATACTTGAATCTCCTCGTTGGAGAACATTTGTTGCAGCACTAGCAATGTTTTTCTGGAGGAAGAATTACTAATTTGCGTTTACTAATCGTGAATTAGTTGAAATAACATGCAACTTTAAGAAATTACATAAAAAGGACAGAAAAGGAACTGAAATATCTTCTTGGCACAGTCATTTTTAAAACGAACCAATCATTACACCCTTCAAGTTTCAATTTTCAATGCTCGCAACCCTAACCACACTACTGTAATGCTATTCTCCAAGCAAATGTATTTTGGATTAACAAAAATTAACAGAACCCTAGATTTTAAACAAAATTAAAGTTTGTTAAAAAACCTAAAAAATTAAGGAGTTTAATGGATGTGATTTTTATCCCCCACGTAACTCGATAGATCAGGAAAGCCAAGATGAGATTTGTAGAACAAAAAATCTATTTCACGACTGCTGCAGATGCAGAGAGAAACATGATAAATATTTGACGGGAGAGTACGAACAATATAAAAAACAAATGTAATTTTTAATTTTTGTTGCAAGTATGATCACAATGGTGAATTGATATATTTTTTTTTTATGAGTTGGCTACAAATTTAAATGAGCGCAGAGGTAGCGACATAGTTTCAATTTTAATCATTTCATGTGTTTGTTTGGTTTGGATAATCCCAATTATGTCGAAGTTGGATACAAATGTTTTTCTGTCAATGTTTGTCGATATATAATACTATATATATATATCTTCATTGTGTTGTACGTGGAGCAGGTTGCGGCCATTGCATACTGGGATCAGCCTTCAGCCATTGGATCGGCATTTAAATTTCGTGTTTTATTTTGTATCTTCTGCTGTTGTTATTGATTTGACAAGCATCGAATAAGATAATATGTTGTTTGTCAGTAAGCACCAAATATAATCAAACCCAAATATGCATAAAAAAATGGGTCATTGGTGCCATAGGTTGATAGTATAGAAATGAATATTAAACTTTTAAGACAATACATTGGAAATAAATCCCTCTTTTGGCTTACTGAAATACAATATATATATATGTTGTGGTTTTGTTTAGCATTAAAAATTTGATGTGTCTAGGCGATTTCTTATTTCTGCTATACATATTATTTTTTTTTTGACAATAACAAATGTGTATTCAAAAGAAAGATTCTACGAAACTACAAACCACCTTCTTTTCCATTAGTCATTAAAATGTATTTTTTTAATCTTGACAATAATTACCATCACATTATAAATTAAGTTAAAATATTGTTTTTGAATCAGATTATTTTTAGATTTCATTTTTTAACTAAATTATTTTTACCTTTTTTTTTTTTAAATTTTTATGGGAGTAATTTTTGAAAATTTTCTTAAGCTCCCATCTTTAACCGTGTATCATTTTATGCTGATAATATATATATATATATATATAATTAAATTTAATATTATTTTAAAAGAAACTACTAATAATTATATCACTCTCTTTTAGAATAATTCTCTTGAATGAGTGTGTTTCTAATATTGTTTTTTAACAATAATGTTTTAAGGGATTTTTTTTATAATTTTTTTTATCTCTTTTACTTTATCATTCTCAGTTAAAAATTTGACTACATTACACTTTATTTTTTTTTTGTTCGTCCCTGATCGTTAGGTTGGAGGCATCTCAGGGTGGGATAGCTGTTTTCAATGCTTAAACGTGGAACAACTTCTACCGCTGAACCATACACTTGGGGTTACACTTTACTTCTAGTCTTCTATATAGTATACAATATTTATTTATTATAAACCTTAATTACAATATAACTTTTGTATGAAACATATTATTTATTTTAATTATTTTTGCCAGATAAAATAAAAATAATCACATACATTGCTCATATTAAAATTATAGTCGTATATCATGTGCAAACTTGTTAACTTCGAAATAATCATGTTAAATATTAATTTTTCTTTTATCTATTTATCAATTTTCCCATAAAATTATTATGCAAAGGAGATGAACATTGAATTTTTTAATGTTAATTTTTCTTATTATAATGCAAATATTCAAATTAATTTTATTAACTCAGTTAATATCAACATGATAAATATTTAAATTATTTAAAAGTTTATTAAAACTAAATGTCAAAATATGCAATATTCCATAAGAAACATATATACAAATATTTCAGAAAATACTTATGACCAAACATTCAGATTTTAATGGATCATACATTTATAATTTTCTCATACCAACATTGTTGACAGGACAGATAAGAACATGTAAGTTTTAATGAATTGAATCGAAGGGATATGTCAATGTACTTGGAACCAATGATTAGTTTCCATGCATGGCATAATTTATTTCCTTTTACAAAATCATAATTATGCAAATTGTGAAGACCCATTAGCAAACAAGATCAAATGCATGTTATAAGACTAAGCAAAAAAAGAAACAGTACTAAAGATAGAAAGAGTAAGCACTAACCGATCATGCAGCCGCCGAAGAAGACGGCCTGAACAAGCCCAACCTTATACTTGTCACCGCAAAACAATCCCCACTCAGTAACAGTCGACCTTCCCACCCACTCCCACGAGCCCGGTTCAAGCCCGCACACGCTCTTCGCGCCCGCCTCGCAGGCCCAACCGGCCCGGCACCGCCACTCCGGCTGGCGGTCCGCGAATATCATCACCATCGTGTGGAACGCCTCCAGGGCCCACGCCAGGCTCGTCAGCACGAAGTGCTTCAGCTGCCACCGCCCGAACTCGCCGCAGTGCCTCTGCAGCATCTCGTCGATGCACAGCTTCTCCGCCGCCGGCTCGCTGCCCTTCGCCGCCAGCAGCGGTGACCGGAACGGATCCGCTACACGGTCATAGGAATCGGAGAACGACGCGGTTCGCATTTGCTTCTCACCAGAGGAACTGTAAACGTATGGAGCAAAAATAAATGATTAGTGATGTATACATACATATATATATATATATATATATATATGAGTTAATCATCTATACTGTCAGTGTAAAGATTTTTACACTGGCAACCAATTAAATTTGTTAATAATACTTTTTTTATTTTAATTTAATTAAATGAGTAAATGACATGACATTATTAATTATTAATAGATCTCACGAATAATAGTTTGTTATGCTATTACGTATTTTACGCTTTCTGTTATTAGCTTTCTTTCTCTCTCCTTGTAATATATATGCATTGCTTTTGTCACTTTTTGTAATAACAATATACGCATCATGCACAGCGTATTTTCTGTTGCCAATCTTATTTCATTTCTTGTCATGGTATCAGAGCCTGACGATCATCGTTTTTCGTTTTCCATCTTCATCCTTCTCCTCTGGTTTTGCCATTCTGCAACCATGAGTGATGAAGTTGATCCATCACTAAATATTCATAGTTTCTTGTTTTTGCATCCCAATGAAAATCCTGCTATGGCACTAGTTTCTCCATCACTTGATTCCACAAACTATCACTCCTGGAGCAGATCCATGCTCACGGCTCTCAGTGCTAAAAACAAAGTCGAATTTGTGGATGGTAGTGCTCCACAACCACCTTCCTCTGACCGTATCTATAGTGCCTGGAAACGATGTAATAATATGGTGGTCTCCTGGCTTGTGCCCTCTGTTTCTTTCTCAATAAGACAAAGCATTCTTTGGATGGATTCTGCAGAAGAGATTTGGCGTGATTTGAAATCACGTTATTCTCAGGGGGATCTTCTTCGTATTTCTGCTTTACAACTCGAAGCTTCATCGATCAAACAAGGTGACTTATCTGTCACTGACTACTTTACTCAGTTAAGGATTATATGGGATGAGCTTGAGAACTTTCGACCAGACCCGATTTGTGTATGCATTGTGAAATGTATATGCAAAGTTTCATCTATTCTCGCTCAACGGAAATTGGAGGATCAAGCCATGCAGTTTCTTAGAGGGCTCAATGATCAATACGCAAATGTTAGATCTCATGTTTTGTTAATGGATCCTTTACCCCCTATTAACAAAATTTTCTCCTATGTTGCACAACAGGAACGACAATTTGCTGTTTCTGATTCCTTAGCTGAGGTTAAAAATGGTTTTGCTAATGCTGCCATCATGAACTCTACGTGCAATTTTTGTGGTCGAAATGGTCATACTGAAAGCACATGTTACCGTAAGCATGGCTTCCCTGATAAAAATGGCAAAAGCAGCTCTAATCGTGGGAAAGCTTGCTCCCACTGCGGAAAGAATGGCCATACAGTAGATACTTGTTATAAGAAACATGGCTTCCCTCCTGGCCATCGTTTCTCCAATAACAAATCTGCATCCGCTAATAGTGCTTTGTCCACTGAGGCGACCGCCAATGAGAAAGATCTTTCTGCTTCCACTGAGCACCAAGAGATTCGTTTCACTCCTCAACAATATCAAGCTTTGTTAGCCTTAATTCAGCAGCCATCCCAGGCTTCTTCAGCTTCACACTCAGCTTGTATAAATCAAATTGGTTCGATTACTACTTCTTCTACACACACATCTCAACCATCAGGTAGTGTTCAGCCCCATATTTGCACCACACACTCCTTTGATACTACTCCTTGGATAATTGATTCGGGAGCCACTGATCACGTTACTTGCTCACTTCAATTTTTCACCTCTTACAAACTTATTGAGCCTGTTATTGTCAATCTTCCCACTGGCCATAAAGTTACAGCAACACACTCTGGCACAGTTTATTTTTCTTCCAATTTTCAGCTCACTGATGTGTTATATATATCTTCATTTGCCTTCAATCTAATCTCTGTTTCTAAGCTAGTTTCCACTACTTCCTATCAAATTACCTTCACTAATAATGTTTGCTTCATACAGGATATCAGAACCAAGATGAAGATTGGTTCAGTTGATGTGCGGGGTGGTCTCTATCAGCTCATACCTCATCATTTCAAACCTCCTTTTATACATTCTACCATAATTCACCCAAAATGTGATGTAATCCCGATCGATTTGTGGCATTTTCGTCTTGGACATCTGTCTAATACTCGTCTTCATAATATGCAACAGTTATATCCATGTTTGACCATAAATAAAGATTTTACTTGCAACATTTGTCATTATGCCAAACAGCGTAAACTTTCATTTTCATCCAGTCATTCTACTGCATCACGTCCTTTTTCTCTTTTACATATGGATATATGGGGACCCTACTCCTGCATATCTTCCATACATGGTCATAAATTCTTTTTTACCATTGTAGATGACAACACTCATTTCACATGGATTTTCTTAATGATTAATAAATCTGAAACCCGTATGCACATTTCTAATTTCATTAATCTAATTGAAAATCAATTTAATACTCGAATTCAAACAATTCAAACAGACAATGGTGCTGAGTTTTTAATGCAGAATTTTTTTAATTCTAAAGGGATTGTTCATCAAACCACTTGCATTGAAACTCCGCAGCAAAATGGAGTCGTTGAGCGCAAACATCAACATTTGTTGAATGTTACTCATGCTCTTCTTTTTCATTCAAAATTACCCTATTGTTTTTGGAGTTATGCATTATTACATGCCACGTATTTAATTAACCGCATCACTACACCTCTACTTGATAATAAAACTCCTTTTCAAAAACTTTATGGTCAAACTTGTGATATCACTGAATTGAGAGTATTTGGATGCTTATGCTACGTGTCTACTTCCACTGCCAATCGAAAGAAACTAGACCCCAGAGCTCACCCTTGTGTCTTCCTAGGATTTTCACCTACTACCAAGGGCTACATCACCTATGACCTTCATACTAGAGCCATTACAATTTCACGTAATGTGTCCTTTTATGAAAATCATTTTCCATTGTTGCAATCCACCTCCTCTACATCCAATATTCCCGTCGTTTCACCCATTTCTTTTGGTATTCATTCTCCTTCTCATGACTTGATTTCTATTTTACCTGATCCTCACCAACACAATGTCACTTCTCCAAATCCTGCCACAACATCACATGATTCCATTTCTTTAGCTCCATACTCTACTACTGCAGACTCTCTTCCACCAAATTCTTCTCCATTGCGTCGTTCAACCAGACTCCGCAACCCGCCCTCTTACTTGCAAGATTATCACCACTCTCTCACATCCACTTCTACCAATCTTCATCCAGGTATGCTCTATCCCATTGAGAAATACATTTCTTATTCCCGTCTTTCTAATGATTTTCAAGCTTTTGTGTCTTCCATTTCTGCTGTTTCTGAACCTCACTCGTACGCTGAAGCTGCCAAGCATGACTGCTGGCTTAAGGCAATGCACGCTGAATTAGAGGCATTGAAAATGAATCAGACTTGGACTTTAACTCCACTACCCCCTCACAAGCAAGCTGTTGGCTGTCGTTGGATATACAAGATCAAGTATAATGCAGATGGTAGTATTGAGCGGTACAAAGCGAGACTTGTTGCGAAAGGTTACACACAAGTGGAAGGATTGGATTACCTTGCTACTTTTTCCCCAGTTGCCAAGCTTACCACAGTCCGACTCCTTCTTGCCCTTGCAGCTGTTTTTGATTGGCATCTCAAGCAATTAGATGTGAATAACGCATTTCTTCATGGAGACTTAAATGAAGAAGTTTACATGACTCTTCCTCTCGGCATGCGTCCAGAATATTCCAACCAAGTGTGCAAATTGCAAAAATCACTATATGGCCTGAAACAAGCTAGTCGACAGTGGTTTGCAAAATTATCTTCTTTTCTTATTCATCATGGCTATCATCAATCTGCATCGGATCATTCCTTATTTATGAAATTTTCTAGTTCATCCACTACAGCTCTCCTCATTTACGTGGATGATATTGTTTTAGCAGGCAACAATCTTTCTGAAATTCAACTTATTACTGGTCTTCTTGATGTTGCCTTCAAGATTAAGGATCTGGGCAATCTTAAATATTTTTTGGGGCTTGAAGTTGCTCGCAACAAGTCTGGCATTCACCTCTCTCAACGCAAATATGTTCTGGATATTTTGTCTGATTGTGGAATGATGGCCTCTCGTCCTGTTTCCACGCCTATGGATTACACTTCACGCCTATCTGCATCCTCTGGCACTCCCCTTGCAGATCCTTCGTCATATCGTAGATTACTTGGACGCCTCATTTACCTTACCACAACTCGTCCCGATATTTCATATGTTGTCCATCATCTAAGTCAATTCATGTCTGCTCCATCCACTGCTCACTCACAAGCCATTTTTCGCATTTTACGTTACTTGAAGCAAGCACCTGGATCAGGTTTATTCTTTCCAACCAACAGTTCTCTCCATCTCAAAGCTTTTAGTGACTCCGATTGGGCAGGATGTCTTGATACTCGCCGCTCTATCACCGGATTTTCTGTTTATCTTGGTGATTCTCTCATCTCATGGCGTTCCAAGAAACAACCCACTGTTTCTCGTAGTTCTTCTGAAGCTGAATATCGTGCTCTCGCCACCACAACTTCTGAGCTTCAATGGCTCACTTATCTCCTCCATGATCTGCATGTTCCTGTTCACCAACCAGCTCTTCTTTACTGCGATAATCAGTCCGCTTTGCATATCGCAGCAAATCAAGTATTCCATGAGCGTACTAAACACATTGATATTGACTGTCATCTAGTTCGCGAGAAACTTCAATCTGGTCTGCTTAAATTACTTCCTGTTGCTTCTCCACACCAGCTTGCCGACATCTTCACCAAGTCTCTCTCACCTTCAATGTTCACAGCTTTATATTCCAAGCTGGGAATGTTGAATCTCTATTCCCAGCTTGAGGGGGGGTCTCACGAATAATAGTTTGTTATGCTGTTACGTATTTTACGCTTTCTGTTATTAGCTTTCTTTCTCTCTCCTTGTAATATATATGCACTGCTTTTGTCACTTTTTGTAATAACAATATACGCATCATGCACAACGTATTTTCTGTTGCCAATCTTATTTCATTTCTTGTCAATAGATTTGATTAGTTACCGGTGTAAAAAAACTTTACACTGGCAGATTATAGGTGATTAACTATATATATATATAAAGTGTTGTAATGAAATTAAAGATATATTAAAATTTTAAAATTAATTATAATTTATATTTATATAATTAAAATTTATAATAAATAAATATTTTTATTGTTGATATTGGATTGTTTTTTATTATTAATATTTTTAAAATTAATTTATAATAAGGATGAAAAATAATACTATCGCCTTTTTTTTTATTTAGGTGTAACAATTTTATATGAAAGTGAAAATAATTTTCTTAGATTTAAAAGACTTTAATTTTTTTTACATGTTTAATAGAAAAGATAAGTTTCTAAAATATATCAGATAGTCTTTTATTAGATTTTTTTAGTGTAATTTTGAAATGTTTTAAATTGGCACAGTCAAGCTTTTATTTTATGTTAAATTCACATTTCTCATTTTTTTTAAACTAAACATGCACTGGTGCAAAATATATAATTTATGTTTGTTATTTCAGGTTTTTTACGTCATAAAATAGTCTGTCATTAATGTGGGAGACATAAATTTACCTCGATTGAGTTGACCCACGTAAATTTATGTTAGATATCAAGGACCGGTGTAAAATTAATGAAGAACGTGCAAAAAGTAAAGAAGGTGGTGTTAGACAGATGGCGACCCTCCCTCTCCTCCGCCCATACTCCTTCCTCTGCACCCCCACCTTCACCCTAAAACTCCCAACCACAAAAATCCCCTTTTATCCCTCAAACGCCAAAACGACGCCGTCGGGGCTCGCATGTCGAACTCCTCCAGCTCTTCACCGCTGACAGAACAGCTAATCTTGGTGGCGGCGTACGGGCTGGCCTTCCTAAACTCCGTTCAGCATGGGCAGTACTTGATGGCGCAGTTCCCGAAGCTAGCCCTCCTCTTCGAGCCCATCCTCCCCTTCCTCGCCTTCTATAGATCCATCCCCTACTCCTCCTTCGTCGCCTTCTTCATCCTCTATTTGGGCGTCGTAAGAAACCCTAGCTTCCCCGCCGCTACATCAGGTTCAACGCCATGCAACATTTTCCTCGTCATTCCGCTTCTCTTCCAGTGCATCTTCTCCATCGATACTGGGCCAATCATGGTCTTCTTCAGCAACGCCATTTCGTCGAAGGCACTTGATGGCGCAAAACCCTAAACGCGAAGAAAATGAAGGCACCCACGGGAATATAAAAAACTTTTTTACGTTAGACTACACAGGGTCCGACGTAAAATTTTAAATATATGTTGGACTACATAGAGGTCCGACATAAAAAATTTGGACTTATTTTCAAAATTGCCACCGCGCCTTTTTTACGTTAGATATTTTAATGTTCGATGAGAAAACCCTGACGTAAATTCTATATTTTACACTAGTAATGCCACATTTTGTATGCTAAGACCCTTTGGACTAACTTCATAAATATTATTCTTTTGAAGCAATGACTGTAGCACAGATTGATCTCATTTCATTTAACTATACATTATCTTTTTTAAAAGGCAATATACTCATTATAAAAAAAAATGACTTATGCTAATAAATTATATTCAAGTTCTTCAACATATAAATATTATTAATAATAGGTATAGTTCTTACCAACTTAATCCTCTAATGTTACGCTTTTAGTATGCCTCAAAAGAAACAAATCTTTCATGTGGTTGTAAGTTTAAGAACATTTGTCTTTCTCTTGTCATGTGACGTATAGCCATAGTCCAATTACTAGTGTAAAAACCTTCTTCCCATTAAGATATATGTAATAGGCACAGTTTGAGGCTTTGATAACCAAATTTGTTTGAGTCCTTTTATGTTAGTGTCCTTAGTTTAGTAAAATGCAGTGGCTTAGACTTATGGATAAAGGTTTTAGTCTTACGATCCTTAAAACTTTGACCACTTTTGTCTAATGATAATTTTTTGTGTTTTAAAATCAAATTCATTTTTGTAGATTTATCAATAAATTGGGTTAGATGTTTCTTAAGTTGCAAGTTTTCGTCTTTTAGAGAACCAATTTCAAATAGATCTTTTTCTTTTCATACTCAAGCAGACTAAATTTTAATTTTTAATTTTTAGAAAAAAAAAAAAGAATTTTGTAATTTTCTCTAAATTTTTTTGTATCCAAGTGTACTAAGACATTTTCTCATCATCTATGGTATATTTTGAACTATTAGATGATTTAGATAAATCATAAAGATTAGTGTTTTTCTTCATATGAATCCAACATAATATAGATGTTGGCTTCTCCCACTACTAGAAAAGTGTCATTTTCCTGTAAAAAAATATTTGCAGAATTTTTTTGCAAATTTTCCTGCAAAAAAATATTAGCAAAATTTTTTTACGAATTTATTTGCAAAAAATAATTTATAGATATTTCTTACAAACTTTGTTACAATTTTAATGATCATAGAAAAAAAATTTCATGGTAAAAATTTGCAGAAAATATTGTAAGAATTTTATTTTGTTTCTTGCAGATTTTCTTGCAAAAATAAATTTGCAAGTAATGTTTACTAAATGGTAGAAGAATTTTATAGGTAACTTTTCCTGTGATTTTTCTTGCAAATTTTAATATGCAGGAAAAATTAAAAAATATTTAAATTTATAAGTTTAATATTTAAAAAAAAACTTCAAGTCCCACATTGATTGAAAATAAAACAATTAAAGAGTATATAAGTTGGGGCAACACTTACCTTACAAGTTGATTTGTATGGTTGAGTGTTTGACTTATAATCTACAATCTTAGAATTTAAAAGATTATGTATCACATGTTGGAGCCATGGAAACAAATACTTCAGATGAATTCATTGTGAGCATTTGAAAGTTGAAGAATTATTGATAGAATTTACAGTAATTTCTTTAATTTTTTCATAAAAAATATTCCTGCAGAATTTCTTGCGAAAAATTCGTAGGAAACTTTCCTACGAATTTTTTTCACAAGAAATTTCACAGGAAAATTTCCTCCAAATTTTAAAATTCGCAAAAATATATTATCCACGGAGGTATTACTTGCAGATAAAATTTTCGCAGAAATTTTTTTGGGAACAATGCTTCCTGCGAATTTTTCATAAAACTTCGCAGGAAAAGTCGCATGTAATAAGAGAAATTCTATTAGTGTCCGTCTTTTGAATTATTGCTATAAGTGCACATATAAGATTGTTATGCATTTGAGACTCACACCAACACACACAAGTCTTTATATTAGTATGATATTGTCAACTTTAAATTTAAGTTTTTATAGTTTTATTTTTGGTTATCTCCCAATAGGTCTCATGCCAATGAAGACATTTGTATATTTATAAGCTCATCTCTTTTCTCTTGTTATAATGATGTGCGACTTTGATTGTATCCAACAAAGATATGACAATGCACCCCAAAATGTAGAAGGTATGTAAAGTTAAAAAAATGTGCTTTTTAAAAGTAGAAGGTATATATGTTTTAATTACCGATGTCAAAAGTTACCAAAGTTCACGAAATATTTAAATTTGTGTGTAACAACTAACATATAAAGTGCACATTATATGTCAAGTAAGGTTATCGTTAAGTATGTTAACGAGGTGGGGCAGGTATGGGTAGTAGCCCCTATTACCCATCTCGCTGGATAAATATCCGCCCCATATTTGTTCCTATATCCTTGAGGATATGCATTAAGAGGATATTCGTGTATTTTTCAATATTCATAGTTTTTTTTGCGGATATTTGTGGATATTTAATTAAAAAATAATAATTTTCAAAAAATATTTTAATAATATTTTCTATTTATTTTATTTAAAAATAATAGTTTAGAAGTTAAAACTTAAATTATTCAAATATTATACTCAATTTTATTAATGAAGATTCTTCAATTTAAAACCTAAATTTAATTGTTAAAGTACTTCATTCCTATAACTTTAAACAAATTTAATATGTAATGATGTAATTGAATATTAGAGAATACCTACAATTACTAATATATATGATACCCATACCCACTTTGTTAACAATATGATTATAGAAAATACTTATAGGTACCTATTTACAATATTCATTTTTTACTTGCAAATTTTTTTTACGAATTTATTTGCAAAAAATAATTTATAGATATTTCTTACAAATTTTGTTACAATTTTAATGATCATAGAAAAAAAATTCCATGGTAAAAATTTGCAGAAAATATTGTAAGAATTTTATTTTGTTTCTTGCAGATTTTCTTGCAAAAATAAATTTACAAGTAATGTTTATTAAATGGTAGAAAAATTTTGCAGGTAACTTTTCCTGCAGTTTTTCTTGCAAATTTTAATCCGTAGGAAAAATAAAAAATATTTAAATTTATAAGTTTAATATTTTTAAAAATTTTCAAGTCCCGCATCGATTGAAAATAAAATAATTAAAGTGTATATAAGTTGGGGCAATACTTACCTTACAAGTTGATTTGTATGGTTGAGTGTTTGACTTATAATCTACAATATTAGAATTTAAAAGATTATGTATCACATGTTGGAGCCATGGAAACAAATGTTTCAGATGAATTCATTGTGAGCATTTGAAAGTTGACGAATTATTGATAGAATTTATAGTAATTTCTTTAATTTTTTCGTAAAAAATATTTCTACAGAATTTCTTGCAAAAAAATTCGTAGGAAAATTTCCAGCGAATTTTTTTTGCCAGAATCTTTCCTGCGAGTTTTTTCGCAAGAAATTTCACAAGAAAATTTCCTCCGAATTTTAAAATTCGCAAAAATATATTATCCACGAAAGTATTACATGCAGATAAAATTTCGCAGAAAAATTTGTAGGAACAACACTTCCTGCAAATTTTTCATAAAAATCCGCAGGAAAAGTCGCATGTAATAAGAGAAATTCTATTAATGCCCGTCTTTTGAATTATATAATTGCTATAAGTGCACATATAAGATTGTTGTGCATTTGAGACTCACACCAACACACACAAGTCTTTATATTAGTATGATATTGTCAACTTTAAATTTAAGTTCTTATAGTTTTATTTTTGGTTATCTCCCAAAAGGTCTCATGCCAATGAAGACATTTGTATATTTATAAACTCATGTCTTTTCTCTTGTTATAATGATGTGCAACTTTGATTGTATCCAACAAAGATATGACAATGCACCCCAAAATGTAGAAGGTATGTAAAGTTAAAAAAATTGTGCTTTTTAAAATTAGAAGGAATATGTTTTAATTACTGATGTCAAAAGTTACCAAAGTTCACGAAATATTTAAATTTGTGTGTAACATCTAACATATAAAGTGCGCATTCTATGTCAAGTAAGGTTATCGTTAAGTATGTTAACGAGGTGGGGCAGGTATGGGTAGTAGCCCCTATTACCCATGTCGCTGGATAAATATCCACCCCATATTTGTTCCTATATCCTTGAGGATATGCATTAAGAGGGTATTCGTGTATTTTTCAATATTCATAGTTTTTTTGCGGATATTTGTGGATATTTAATTAAAAAATAATAATTTTCAAAAAAAATTTTAATAATATTATCTATTTATTTTATTTAAAAATAATAGTTTAGAAGTTAAAACTTAAATTATTCAAATATTATACTCAATTTTATTAATCAAGATTCTTCAATTTAAAAACTAAATTTAATTGTTAAAGTAAATAATACTAATATAATAATTAATACAAAATAATACTAAATAAATATATTATTATAATTTATAACACTAAAAATAATAATAAAAAATATTATTTATAGATTCTTAACATTTTAACGTGTATAGAAAAATTCTAAACTATATATAATATAGTATTTAAATTTTAATTTTAATAAAAAATATATAACAATGTCTATTAATAATAAAAACTTTACATCTAGAATAAATAGTATCAAATTAACATAATATAAACTATAAAAAATAAAAATATTATAAATTAAAAATTAACATAAATGAATCAATTATGTTTATGAAATTAAATTATATTTATAATAAGTTTTAAAAATAATTTATTCTAATTTATATTTTTTATTAAAAATTATTTTTAATAAAAATATTTTAACTTAAAATTAAAAAATTTTAAAAATATTTTCTTTTCCATTAGACCTATTTAAAGAATTTGACTAGTTTTTTTTATTGGTTTTACTAGTTTTGATCAGTTCTATTTTTCACTAGTGCAAAATAAGGTTACTATGACACTTCTTTTACGTCAGACATACGAAA